TGATCTCACTAGCTGATATGGTGGAGCTTTCTAATTTAACAAGTGAGGACCTCTGTTGATATCTAATCGCGGAAGTCTTCCAAGGTTGCCGTGCCTAAGTTCAGCATTTTCTGCAACCAAATCAGTTGTCTCTCTCTGGAACAAAGTAAGCTGCGCAGAGAGTGTTGTAGCTTCAGTTTGAAGAGTTTAAATTCTTCTCTCAAGATCAAAGATATAGCATGCCTTTCTTTCTTTAGAGTTAGCAACAAACTGTTGATTAGCTAAAATCCAAAAAGTTGTATAATGAAAGTGCGGTCATTTTTTTATTAAAATTACACATAATTAATTTTTATTTTATTTTTTTTAATCATTTAAAATGACAAATTTTTGTTTGAAATTAATTGCGTGGATCCATTGTTTGTTCAAAATTTCAACAGCCTCCCAACGTCTCGTCCCCGCAAAGCGAGATTAAGAAGGCATTTGCCTTTCAAACTTCCCAACCGAATCAAAGATACGACAACGTGAGGTCTTCGTATATTTATTTTTTATAGCTAGACCAAACATACAACGGCGCAAGTCTTCTTCGGTTCTTCTCACAGCTGGAACAAATATACAATAACGCGGGTCTTGGATACACGTGCTTTAGGCAAATAAAGAATTTTATACCTCTAATGTATGATGAATGATGCTAGCTAAGTTAGTAAAAATAGATTTTTTAATCATAATAACAATAATAATAGGGAGAGAAAGAGGTTGTCGGTGAAGTGAAATGGGTTGTTGATTGTTGGTAACTAGCTGCAGTGAGATTCCCGGCAATGTGAGTTAATTGAAGTAGGTGGAAATCAGAAGATCGGCAAAGTTGAATGAGTGCAAGAAGTCAGTCATCTCTAATCCGATCGCATGAGGAGGCGTGAGCGTGAGTGGAAGCGCTCATGCGGGATGAGGGTTTGGGACACGTGTAGGTGCAGGTTCAAAATAGGACGGTGGGTTCTCCCATGCAGATCGAAGCGGAGACGATGGGGTCTTGCATGTGAGGATAGATCATGGGAGACCGCATGCGGGGCGACGAGGCTCACGAGAGAGGCTTCTTTACGTGCGGCCAAAGGAGGAGAAAAGCGAGCGGAGGCTTCCGTCTGGAGTATTGTGCAAAAGAGTCGAATTGAGAGCTAGAGAGCGGGCTGGGAGGTTTTGTGTCCTGAATGGGAATGATTGTGTGTGAACCATTGCATTGTTTGGGCAAAACGTGCTTAAGCTCGGGCCGATCAGGCTATTCAATGGTCAACACTGTGTAAGAAATGAAGTATGCGTGTAAAATACAAGTCACTTGAGATGCTTATGAGTTTTAAATAGCAGATTATTGATTAGACACCACAACTATAAAATCATCAGAGAAACAAGTTGAATAATTCAAGAAATAACGTTGATCATTCATGGGCTAGTTACATACCAAGGAAAAAACATAGTGAGTTCAATCACTGCAAACTGACCTAATTTAGCTTTAATATGAAACAATCATAAAACTTTAACCATCATTTATGGAAATGATGTTAACTTCCCACAACAAAATAAGATGGAATGAAAATATCAGGATAAGCAAATGCTGATGTTGGTGATCGGCATGCAGTATACAGGAATGGCAGTTTCAGCTAAGAATCATCTTATGCATCATATTAACTGAAAAGAAAATAGCATTGAGTTTTTCAAAAGCGGTGAAGCCATAAAACATAATAAAATTCCCAGTGGCCTGCTACAAACAGTAGCAAAAGGAGTGCACTAAACAAAGAAGTTTCCCAAAAAAATTTAAATTGCTGTGATAACATTACAGATAGCAGACTTTTAATACTGAAAAAAAAAAAGCACGATTACAAATGAATTGCTCACCCGCTAGATTGTTCTTCAGATGACAACACATCAGCTTTTTCAACATTGCCCTTGTGACCCACTGCAGCAGGTGATGATTTACATTATAAGAATAAATAAAGTAGGTTCAATGCAAGATAACACATAATTTAGATGCAATCAAAGTGAAGTGACAATTCAAGGAAAACAAACAAGCTAATCATACTATAAAAGGAAAAACAGAAAAAAAATGTTTATTCTTATATAGGCAAATATAAGAAAGCTTACTTTTATAAACACTGACACGACATTTTTACTTAAGCAATGAATAATACCTTAAACTAAAACTTGTTTATTCTCTTTCCTTGCTGGAAAAATGGAAGGGAAAAAAAACATGTAAACATAAGTCACACTTGTTTTCACACAAACAAGTGATATGCTCCCTAATCTTTAGGGTAGAGGTCTCAACTTTAAATCCTACTTCAAATTGCTCCTATATGGATTTCATATGATTGTAATTGACCTTATGCCTTATTTATACTCAATAAAATTATCTGAGATACATCTATATTATTTTCCAAATAATTAAAAAAAAAAACCATTGTTTTTAAACTTCTGGAATAACAAGTAACACACATAATCACACATAACAAAATATAGAAAAAATCCTAAAATAGTCCCCCAACGATTAGTAAGTAACCACTTCAATCCTAGAGTAAAAAAGTGTTCTAAATTTGTCCCTCGACTATCAAAAATTGATCCAACATAGTACCACTATTAAATTTACTATTTTATTTGAAAGAAAGTAAGAAGTTAGCGATCATATAAGGTGATGGTGTTTTTAAAAAAGTTAAAACTTATAATTATTATTTCTTTAAAATCCAAATAAATATGTTTCTCCTTCGTTTTGCCTTAAATGCTGAATTTGGTAAATCCTTGCATTGAGCAGATTTAACATGTCACAAAACCCGACATAACTACTTAGAATACGAAGTCAGGAACAGCATTACAGCAGTCTAACAGTAAATTAATTATTTTAGTATTAACTAAGTAGTCAAATAGAATAACATCCAACCTTCTTAAAAGAGGCACCAATCATCAATCAACAATATTTACACACAGACACACAATTATATATAATTTTAATTGAACATGTTTTTATGAGCACAAAGACTTCTCAGTTAGTCATTTATTCAATTGAAGATTTTATCTGAAAAGTTTAATTTAATGAATTGAGTTTCCATCATCAAACTCGATGGTTAACTACAATTCTATAACATAACAATAATAATGAAATATGCATATCATTAGTCAAGTTATATCATTAATCTGTTCATCTAATAATAATTTAAACACGAGTATTGTTAATCATTAATTTGCATGACTATTCTTAAGCAATTCAAATATCAACTCTTTAATTTAAATAATTCATTTATTTCAATAAAATCATCTAAATTTGGTACTGATGAAGGTACAACTATTTTTTATTTGCAATCATTTTCATTTTTCGTGTGTGGTAGGGTCGAATTCATATTATAAATTAGAATCTATATATCTTTGGATTAGATCACTTATTATTAACAAATATAAATAATTAATTTTTTATAGTATATAATTAAATAAATTAAATATTATTAACTAAAAAATAAATATTATTCATATTCAAAAAAATTAATTAAAAATTTGCCTAAAAATATATAATATGTATGTTGCGAAGGGGATAATTTCAACTCAGTTATTTAGTCTCACATCACTTGGAATACTCACTTTGTATTCTTTATATATCATTTTAGGTTTGCACATGTTAAAAACTCACATTGAGTGGTAGAATCATATATATACTTAGTTGATGTTTTAACAAATGATTATTATAGAAATTTAATGCTTATTATAAAATAAAATATATATAATTTAAATTATATATATATGAAAATTATTAAATATTTCATCATAGTTTAATGCAGGAAAAATAAAAACAAATGAATAGTTGACTAAAAAACAAGTATGAATACATTTACTAAGGCAAAAACATGTAGTAGTTTGTTTATGTATTTAATATATGAAAAAGTTAATCCCTTGACTTAAAGGTGTCAAAAATTGACCCAATTCAAAAATTCCGGGTTCAGTTTGACCTGTTTAACAAACGAGTCGTTCGGGTTTGAAAATCTAACTCATTCAATAAACGGGCCGGGTTCGGGTCAACCCACCAACCCAAAATTAACTCGATTTTGACTCGGATCAAACTGATTGAAGGATTTGGCAAAGAAGCGCATGGTTCGTCGTCCGACTTAAGGATTTGTCGAACAAGCACACAAAATCCAAAATCCTGCAGTGAGATCCAAAAGTGTTCGTTCGTGACTAAGCAAAATTCGAAATCTCACGCTTCGGATCCGGTTGGTTAGAGGCTCAACGAAATCTTGCGCATTTGCGATTTGGATCAACGGTTCAATGGGCGAAGAAGCAAGATTTAGCTTAAGATTATTATGGGATTTGGCCGAAGAAATGTGTTGCGTGCGAAATGTGCTGCGTGCGAAATGAAATAAGGAAAAATAAAAAAATAATTAAAAAAGGGATGGCGGGTCTTGGTAGGTCGACCCAGATCAAAACCGAGTCGGGTTCGAGTCTTGGTTTGTGATCTGTTTTTCTAATCAGATCGAGTCAAGTGATAGCGGGTCATTTTTGAGTTGGACCCGAACCTGACACAAAAATCAATTTTGACATCGATATCTTGACTATTCATGTGTAGTAAATAAAATGCCATATTATTATATTTCTCTAATTAAGTTCCTCAACTATAGAAATTGATCTTAAATGATCCCTCAATTATAAAAAATTGATCCCAAGTTATTCATAAAGTAACAATTGATATCAATTTTGTATAATCCAGAGATTAAATAAGAGAAATGTGAGAAATGTGAAATGATTCAACTAAATTTATCACTTATGAATGGTCAAGGGACTATTTTGGACTTTTCCCCCATTTTAATATTGATAATGATGAATGATGCAGCATATGATTGTATGTTCAAAACTGAGTAAACATGATGTAGAGGAAGCTAGATGGCTAAATAATATACAACCTAATTTTGTATCAAACAAAGCATATTTTAGCAAGATAGCAATCAAAAAATATGGTAAGCTTGAGTCTAATGACAGCATTAACAAGTTAGATAAAATCATATAGCATATCAATAATACATTTTCACACATGCTATTAAACCTAATTCTAACTAAGCATTCAAGTAAATAGGCTTAGGTGGAGATTAATTGTGTTCTGCACTTGCATGGCATGTGCTTTCCATGCTCACACATGTTTGAAAATCGCAAGGTTAATCATCATCAAGCTTGTGCTACACTTGCTCGTATCCACTGTGCTTGCTCCATTCATTGCGAGCACTCACTTAAGTCTCGTATTACATCTCACATGCAACTTCAACTGAGTGTGTTGTGCTCACTATCCCAATCTCTAACACCAACAACGCATGGTGTCAACATCTAGTGATTCATGCTATCAACCTAGGGTAGAAAGGGACTTTCAAAGTCGACCCTCCTGCACTAGAGTTATCATGTTGCCTTCTGTTATTGTTTTATCACCTTTCATCAACTTCTACTCTTCTTCTTGCCTTTAATGTCATGCTTATTCACTTCCTTCGACTCGGGATGGTGCCACAATTGACATTCCAGCTTCTGATTTGAACTTTTCCCTTTTACTACAAGTTTTTATTGGATCTCAACTCCTCTTTCTCCCATATTTTCAGCTCTTAGGGCTTTAGATGAACCACCAATTAGGTTGCCACCTCCTATCTCGATAACGCATTGCTTCTCAGAGGCTCCTCTTACAGCCTTTCCTTTGGATCATGTGCATCCAGTTGCCCACCCTCCTCGTTTCATTGCAAATGTTTTTGGTAAGCTGAAAGATTCAAGATTGTGTCCCCACCCCCAATCAAAAAACCATTTCCCTCTATTTTTTTATCAACATCTCACATCACCCCCTCACAAGCATATATCCACATGCCAAGGAAACATGCTCTCATATTCGCTAAATAGGAGATATTAATTCTTGCTAGACCTCTACTTTTAGATTGTTGAGAAATTTTCGTTGGGACAAGCAACTTGGAGAGTATCCTCAAATTTATGTCTATTTTACCTTTGGTACGTGAATATTCTTTAGGCTTATTGACCATCGTCGTGTTATTATTAGATTTTGTTTATAAATAAATTAAACCAGACTTCTCTCTTGATGGCCCTATTGTATCAGTGCTTTCGTAATTGATAAGTTTAAATGGACAACCTATTTTGACTTGACTCTTCCAAGGTACCAGTTACCACTCCAATTTAGATTGCATTCCCTCAACTTCATTTATATTATTTCAACAAATCTACTTTATATTCCTCGAGTTCTATATTTGGCAAACATTTACAAGTGGAAAATGTTATTGTACGTTTAAAAAGCATTTTGTGGCCAAAGTCCTGGTCAAACTAGACGTTGCATCTTAGTTAGAAAATGAGGTGTGGATTAGCTCCTCGACTTGTGAATACTAGAAAATTGTTGACTTTGAAGCCATTCCAACAGCTTGTTCATCCTATAAAGTTTTTTGGCATAATTTCTCTAAATGTTTCAAGGCTCATCCAAATCCAAGGAAATCTAATCATGAAAAACACAATGTACAATCAAATGATCATCACGCTCTGGCACTCTAGAGGCAACTCCTTTATTAGAGCAAGTCAAATAACAAAATTTAGAACCAATGTTAGATTCTTCTTTGATTTAGAGATTTTGTGCCTACAGCTACTAGCTCTATAATGGTGGTCACCTCAACACCTACAAGCAACACCATTAATCATAATCCACCAAATACTGGAACACCTCACATCTTTCCAATTTTTTTAACACAACGATGATTAGGATGCTCATCAAGTTCATGATTCAAATAAGAGAACTCAAAGTGTTGATCCTTTGGTGGATAGGAAGTTTCAAATTCTAATTACAAGATAAGGCTAGTAACAAAAAATATATCATCACGCATTTGTTTTCACAAACCTTTAAGCATGGAAAACTCAATTAATCATTTGGTAGTCTTAAAATTCTTAAGAATTTTCACTATCATGCTATCTCTATCATATCTTATATTCTTCTCATTTTCTCTAACAATTCTTGATAATGACCTTTGAAGTACTCATGTCATTTTCTAGTTATTAAATTTTGTTTTAAGAAAATGGCCTAATGTAGTCTTTCCCTTCCTCCATAAACAGAGAGAAAAACTAGAATGAAAAGGCCAACTGAGTTATCTGTCTGCCCTGTAGAAGTTGTGGACAATCTGACTTCATCTCTAACATTCACCTTAAAACCAAGCTAGTAATAGTACCGTCCCAAAAATCTCTTACACCTATGTCAATGGGGAGTAGTAAGAGTGTCCAATCTTGCAAAATTACCATGGAAGCATTACAACCATTAGTGCATCATCTCTCGTTATCGTTGCCTCTACAACAAAGAAAGCTAGTGCTATTGGATTTCCCATTGATTTCATCACGTGAAGTGTCTCTGCTACCATCGCAAAAACAGCTTCAGCTCCCATTAAGCATGTCAACCTCTTGATCAAAGACCAAGATGAGATGATCAAAGCTAGCCATCTCTCTAAGAAATATTGAGGAATTGGGTATTGCTTATTCCAAATGAAGAAAGCAGGTGCTGTGGCGCTTTGGCTATTATCTTCTTATGACTTGAATTTTGTTTTCAAGTATAAAATGTTCAACTTTGAAAATGACAAGGATGGTTATTGTAAATGGTGTCCTGCTACCATGCCTTTTAGTACAATGGTCGATGCCTCTTCAATTTTGATCATGTACCATCTAGACTACTCAAAAACCAATCAGACTAATGATGGCGATGCTATTAAGAAAATAGTATAGTGAATGATAACTCAATGGTTTAATAAATGTTACCATCATTTTTTTTCAAATCGTGATATAGGAGGCGCGCCTTAGTGCAATAAAGGTGAAAATCACCTCGAAGTGCACACCTCATGCAATTTAGATGAGACATACACCTCATAATTTTTGGATGATCCATGAGGCACGCCTCTCCTTAAAAGCTTACGCCTGAAGCAGAAGTTTTTTTTTAAATAATTTGAATACTAATATCATAATAACTACTTAATCACATGCACTAAAACAACATATCAAGACCTGATACGCAGACCAAGACTCGTCCGATTATTCTCATAAGTAAAACATCTTCTCCAGTCCCTATTTTGCATAATTTTTTAGTTTTTATTTTGTGGGTTGCGCAATTTATTACTCGATATATACGTCAACGCTTTACTTCTTAGTATATTAGAATGTTAATAGGTCATTTTATAACATATTAAATGGTTATGACGTAAATATACTACTTCTAACCTTCATTCCAACTTTAAGGAATTTTTATATAGTGATCTTTATGCCTCAAAACACTTTGAGGCTTATGCCTCTCCATACAAATAGAAAACACCTCAATACCCAATTGTGCAATTTCGAACCTTGGTTTACAAGAAGACAATTCAATCAGATGGCTTTGTTGGACTCTATCATTGTTGCAACATGTCAAGTGCTGTTATCATGGGATACCACGGAGCCAATCATGTTGGTTGGGCCCTTACAATACAACTCACTTGTAAGCTTCCTAGGGGTACTACAATTGGTGATGGTCTTTCTTCCCATCCAATTGTTATTGTTCATGGAAGAAAAACGATGACATCTAAAGAGATTGCCCAGTACAAGAGCTCATCGCATGTGTTCGATCAGATTATGAAGAACGAGGGTGACAATTTCCATATTTTAGGGTGCTAGTACCAATATCCTATGCGTTAAGGTTGGGGCAAGTGTGCTTGCAGGATTTCATAAGCTGCATGTGATAGGCTTTGGAAAGAAATATGGTTCTGGTGATGGAGGCTAACTTTCATAACCGCTTTTTGCATTCATGAGTTGAAGTATTGATGATGATGACGATGATGATGAACAAATATGATGGGAAATTATTATCTATGCTTCTTTAGTTTTCAAACTTCTGCCAAAATAATTCTTGCAATAAACACCCATAATTTTGACTGGGGTTGTCCAAGGGGAAAACAAGTGGCGTTGTACTTTATTTCTGGTCCTTTTTTTAACCAACAGAAGAATGATCTTCTACAATTAAGAAATAAATGAGCTTTAAGCGTTTAAAAATATAAATTAATGAATAGAAAATACACCCTTTAGACAAATAAATAAAATTGATATTGAAAAATTAGAAGAAAAAAAAAAGTTGACCCAAAAAACATGCATTAAAGTTGCTTAAAATTATTTGTGAATGATCAATAAACACCTCAGACAACGCTCAATAAAAATAAATATAAAATGATAATTAATATAATCAACCCCAAATACTTAGAAAAAGGCTAACTATGACGACGATGATGCTGAGCTTTATATGATCAAAATTCTTAAATAGGAAAAAAAATAAGTAATGTAGAAATAAGCTCAACAACTTCAATTGGTTGGATAAAATTAAATAAAAAATAAAATGGAAGATCAACATGGGAGAAGAGAAAGTATAAATGAGGATAAAATATCACAATATAGCTAACTCCATGGTAATCCTCCTTATCAAAAACTAATTGAAGGAATAAGTTTATCATATACAAGGACAATATACACATAGAAATTCATATAGATTCTCTAATAGATGAAAGTTGTTGTGTTACACTCCACGAATATAATAGTTTATTAGACAAAAATAAATAAAGAATTTGCAAAAAAATAAAAAAAAGGATCAAAGACATTTCAATTTCATCAATCCTCTTTTCCCATTTGAATATGTAATTCATTCCACCCAAAAAGTAAGATTTCTTCAAATATAGAGGTGTCAATATTTGACACGACCCGAAAATCCGACTCGAATCCGACACGGAAATTTTAGGTTCGGGTCAACCCGAACCCGAACCAGATCGGGTTCGATTTAGGGTTTTCGACACGTTTCAAAAATCACGTCGGGTTCGGGTTGACCCGGAAACCTGGAAATGACCCAGAATGACCCGCTGACCACTGCCCGCGTACCGAGCTGCCCGAGTGACCGCAACTGCCCGAGTGACCGCCCGCTGTCCGTGTGACCGCGTCTGTGTCGGCATGCCCACCGCGATGCCCCGCTGCGCTGCCTCGCTGCCCTGCTGGTCGTTGCCCAGCTGTCGCGTCGTGAGTCGTATCTGCTGGCCGTTGAGCGTCCCGAGATCAAGATTGGCGAGATACGAGGTTGTCGCTATTGTCGTACGTCGGTTAAAGGCTCGTCACTGCCGCCGGACACCATTGCCGCGAAGCTGTTGACTCGAACCCGAAACCGTTGCCGCGAAGCTGTTGACTCGAACCCGAAGCGAGTCGGGTTCGAGCTAGCCTAAATAGTGTCGGGTCATTTTCGGGTTCGACCCGACCTGACCCGTAACCCGAAATTGACACCCCTAACTATGATAACTACAAAATTTTAAAATATTAGAATACATGAAGTTAAAATAAAATCAAGTCAAAAAACATGAAAGAGTGAAATTCTTGTACCTGGAAAAAATAAAGTATGAATTTTTTTTACTTATTCATGTAAAGAAAAAGTATGATAAGCAACATAATTACATAATATGTTGTAAACAAAAGAACAGAACCTGATGCATCTTTGTGCTTGAGCTTGGCTTTGAACTTGCGCTTCTTCCTCAGAATAGACTGGAGGTTCTTCTTCGCAAACTTTCTAGCTCTCTTTCCGAGCTTCGCCATCCTTCTTTGTCTCTTCCTAGAGAGGACCCTAAAACCTAGAAAGGAGAACGAATCAGGGAGAGAACTATAAAAGGTTTAGAGAAATTGGCTACATGCACTTAGAATGTTAAGAATGGCAAGTAAAATAAATGCAGGATATATATGGTTATGGTAATTGGTTAATAAAATATAAATTTAATACAGAAAAATATTATCTAACTCAACCCCACTAGCAGTGAAATTGAATCAATTTTATGTTATCAAATTAAAAAACTAAGGTAATATGAACTAACAAAGAAATATTATATTATCAATCTTTAATTCAAATCAACAACTTATATTATCATTCTTCTATTTGAAAAAAACTTAAGATAACAACCACATCTTGTTTAAAAAAAGTGGTTGCTTTTATGAAATTTGATTTTTTATATCATATAATATATATAATTGAGCAAATATTTTTATCATATATTTTTAATGAGAAATATACCTGAAAATTCTTTTTTGATATAATTATTTCCAATGAGAAATATACAAAACCCATTAATATTCGTGGACTACTTATTAGACTCATAACTCAGAAGTCATTCAAAACTTAATTGCTCACAATTTTTTAGTTAATTTATTATTAAATCCTTCAAAAACATATGAGAATTTTTAATGTAAATTTTTTGTATATGCCATAAATTTACAAGTAAAAAATTATATTTTTGAAAGTTTAAATATTATTAAATAAAAAGATAAAAAATCTCCAAAAAAATAGGGGTGTATTAAAAATTATAAATTTGTGCCCCCACTAATAAAAATTTCAGTCACCCCTGGACTTATCCTTGCTTTAGTCTTTCCAGAACTTGCAAATAATTGGATCTTCTAGTGCGTTATGCAGTATTTTCTACAACATGAACCAACCCAACAAGCTAAGACATGTAAACCTCAAATTAAAATCCAATGGTGCTAACAAAATCTGAGTTGGATGTTGTTTTCTTTCATAAAATGTAACTGCATGCTCTTTAGGGATCTTAGCTTGGTAATGTGTTATATCTACAACTCTCACACAACCTATATTAGCTACAGGGCTGTTTGGATGCAGGATTTAGGCAGGATTTCAAGCGGATTTGAGCTAAATCCAGCCAAACGGCCAAGAATGCAAAATCAAATCTCACGGAAAATCAAACCGCCGTTGACGGAAAATTCCCTCTTTTCGTGGCAAATCCCGGATTTACGAAATCCTTTGGTTCGGCGGATTTACGGGAGTTGGCCGAAGAAGCGCGCGAAGGGAGAAAGTTACCTTCACAGCAAGCGAGCCCCCGTTGTTGCTTTCGATCAAAAAATGTCGTAACTTCCGCTCCAACAGGAACGAAACGTCGTCGAAGGAGCGAAGTCGAACAGCGCGCAAAACTCTACACTCCTGCGAAGGAACGAAGCCGAACGAAAAAGAGAGGGAACGGCAAAACCGCAAAACCTAGACTCCTCTTAAGTTATTATTGTTGGATAACTTAATTAGTATAATTTAAAATATTTATAATTAAATAAAACTAATTAAATTATTAATAAAATTATTAGTTAAATACTTAGTTATTTCAAAATAATTAATAGGATTAAATATGATTTTAAATGAAAATAATTGTTATGAAATATTATAAATAATAATTAATGGTCTTAAATCTTTTAAGTTTTAACCCCCTTAAATGCTTTAATTATCCAAAAAATGCATGTCAAATTTTTTTAACCGCCTTAAATCTTGAATTGAATAACCAAACAATCACAGGATTTATCATAAATGTTGCCAAACAGTTTTTAGGATTTAATCTTCTCAAGATTTTGTAAATCCGGATTTAGAGGATTTACGAAATCCTATTTTAATGAAATCTTGGGTGCTACCAAACAACCCCTTAGAATTTAGCTATCGATTGCACAAGACTGCTATTGAATGTCTCTATATTTTCCATGGTTATAATGTGGTGTGTTTGGACGGTCTGGAGCTTCTCTGGCAACCGCACAGCTGCAATTACCAAGGGGATTCATGCGTAGCTATTGGCAGAATGCTTCTGCACGCATCATATTTTCTGACTTCCATAATCACCTGGGCCCTTATTCGTGCATTAGTCCAATTCTTCTTCCCTTTTGAAATGTAGTACAACACGATGTGCAATATATTATGCAAAGCTTCTCCAGTTTTCTTATTTCATGCATTCCACCATCATATGTTCCTTATTGTTATTTTGTTCTTCCTGTTCTCATCTCCTTTTGGGAATGCCTCTCTTTTGGCTAATGGCTATGATTTGGCTGGAGGAATTATGCGGAAAAGAATTATTATTTACCTAATAGTTACATCTTGACTGTTTGGTTTAGGTGGTGTTGACAAGGAATTGGCTTGACCAAGTAAATGACGAATCACCAATGATGAGTTCTTAGTCTTTTTAGAAGGTAAAGTTGTGGGTACTGATTGCGAACATTCTTATGCTGATTGTTTTAAAAGTGCTGGGTTCTTATCCTTTCATATCTTTTATCTGTCAACTACTTTTCTTACATGATTGAGGTTTGAAGGGAATTTCAACTGAAGGGACAATGAGTTATAAATCTGAAACATTCAAAAAGTGGGTGAATAGTATAAGATGTGTGAGCATAAGAGCTACTATTTTTGTAAAATGAAGAATAGTCCAAATGTCTCTCGTGATAAGATCAAGCTGCTGTTTTTTTAAAGTTTGAGGGTCTTTGTCTTCATTATATTTTTTATGCATGTGGGCGAAATCTTGGAATCTTTCTTGATGAGAAGGGAAAAAGGAAATTGCATTATGGGGCCAAATCTTAAATGAGTGAGCTGCACATAAAATTCCTTTTTTTGTCATCTTCATCTTCGTCATGAAACCAAGCTAATTTGGCTTATTTACATGTCAGATACAATGACCAGTGCTATAAATATAACATAAGGTTGCATGTTGTTATTTTTCTGTTTATGAATGAAGAATATTTGTGGGCAATGATGATTTTTAGGCTAGTCATTGTCAGAGTGGGACTACCATGTAATCTTTTTATATTTTATATGATGTTTATGTTGCATTTCAGAATGGTCTGAAACTTCAGGAACCACAACTGTGATTGCTAGGGGGATTGATGTACCATGATCTTAAGAACGCTACTCTACTTTTCTTTGTTCATGGATCCCGTTGTCAATTGAGCTACTTGTTACTATTTCTTCTTCTTTTTTCTTAGTCACTTTCTTTCCTTTTGGATTATTATATTTAAAGGTTTTGGGTGTTGCACAATGTGCAGTGTGGTAGGTATTATCACCTTTGAAATTAAATGGCTGTGTCAGATTTATATTTGTAGTGGATGGATTTGTTATGGAAGAGGCCTGACTGTGTGTGTTGTTGCACCAAGTTCTTTTGTTGTTGCTGTTTTCAAATATAAGTCATCAGTACCTATGTTTATAACTGTCTATGCAGCTACTGTTTTCCAGCTATCAGTGGATCATCTATGGTTGAGCTTTCCTTATCCTTAGTCTGATTTAATTCTTAAACTTGAAAATTTTGAACTAGGAAGCTGTTTTAAAAGACGGTAAGAAAGCTGTCTCAAACGAAGCCTTAGTTTGTCTTTTTTGCGAGATAGTGAGCATTATGATAGAGGACATAATTAGTGATGTGTGGGAAGAGAATTTCTCTTTATCATTGTAGTTGAACTTGGGCTTATCTGAACACGATAAGGTGATCCAACAACCCCCGATTTTGAAATTCCCCAATCATTCATATAGTAAACTCTCTGGTCATCCATGCATGTGGTCTTGCGGGGTTTGGCAACAGCAAAGCTGAGGATGAAGTGGGAAACACTGTGTGAGCAACTTTAATTTCTCGAATTTTAGGCTTGAAAAGGGTTGTGCATGGATTGATGTTAAATGGGATATCGCATCCGCCTTGTGAAGGATTTCTGCAAAGTATTTAATAAATCCTTTACTGTGGTAATGCAAAGGATTGAAGTATGTTCTGCTCTTGCTCTACGTTGTATTAGTTATCGTTATTCTTAGAGAAGATCTAAGATGTTCCTCTTTGGCTGTTTTTGATGATTATGACTGTTAAAGCTAACATACCGATTCAGTCATTGCAATGGCTGCTCGATCTCTATAGTCATGACCAGGCATATTGACGACCTAAATTGGCAAATGTGTAGTTTATCAGCATGTTGATGCTTTATGGCTGAGGGGGTGTTTTGTTGCTAATTCCCGTAAATTGGATTTTCTAAATCCGGGATTAAAGGCAAAAAGCAAAACGGAGAAGCAACGGGATTTACGATTTTTAAGGATTTAAACTTCGCTTGGAACAGTTTTAGGCCACTGAATTTTTAGGTTCTTTCATAAATTTTTTTACTAGAAAACAGTTGTATCAAAGAGTAAGAAAATTCTCCCAAACGAAGTCTTAAAGTTGTTATTTTTGCTGTTTGGGAGGATTTAGGTTAAATGCTGTTTAATTTTTGCATCCATACAGCTTCTTAACCTCTATAAACTCTTGACGAATGTTGCGTAAGGTCACTCACTGAAGAAGCATCGGCAGAAGCAGTGATGTTTGAAATCCTTCCATTGTCTTGATTTAGTTAATCGGGGTTATAAGATATAAGGGGAGAATTTATGATTCTGTTGGTTTTATGCTGTTTGGCTGGGTTTAGGTCAAATTCTTCTCAGAAACTGCTACCCAACAGCTCGGTGATGGTGATTTGCTCCCTCCATATTCCTCTCTCTCTCTTTTGCCTTCTCGCTTCATCTCTATGTGTGCTGCTTTAAACCTCTTCAATTATCATGGAAGATACACATTGCAATATTTCATGATCTGATCAATTCTTCAAAGCTTATGTTATTCTTTGCATACTTTGAAGTAGTATTTACTTTTAAATTGTTACAAAGAATACTCTGTAGGGCTTATTCAGTTGCTTGAAGTTAGAATATTGATAGGCCGGTCGGCTCATGTGTATAGGAGGCGGATAAAGGCGGGGTCCGCTTTCTTTATTGCTGCCGCCCATTTGGAGCAATGGGGAGAGGGGGTTTTGGGAGGCTAGTTTGAGAGGGAAAATTTGAATGAGAGATGTTTGAATTAAGAAATTAATTGTATGATTAGGGGGGTTTGTTTTGGGAGGGAGTTTATGCATGATTAAGTTTTCTCTTGGAGTTCTTGGGATTTTTGGCTCTAGATTACTTTGTCTAGAGATTTGGGAGAGAACGATCCTCGTCTCGAATTGAGGATCATTTGTATCTTGCTTCGTCTTTGTTTGGCTTTGATTCTCTTATTGCAATCCATTGTTTGGGGGCTGTTTTTCGCCCGTTACTTATGAACTCAAGTATTTCCTATAAAATATATGCTTTTTCTGAAGTGACATTCAGTAGTGTGTTGTTGATGTCTCTTTCTAGTAAGAATTTCTTAGGGAGATAATAATGATTCAGAATTTTGCCATCAGTTGCATATGGTTGCTATGGAATATCTCTATGTTTCCTATGATAATGTTGTAGCATGTTTGAATGGTCTGAAACTTCTCAACAGCTGCTACACATGTCTTATTTTATGACTCTCAACATCATCTGTACCCTTGTCTTCTTTTTGGTTCCTCATTCTTTGTGCTACACAATGTGCAATGTAGTAGGCCAAGATTTTTTGCTTGTCTTATTTGATGGACTCCACTATCATTTGATCCTTCTTTTTCTTTGTTCCCTTATACTTGTTCTCTCCTTTTGCGAATGCCGTCCTTTTTTCTTTGCTTTTTTTGGATTACTTGAGCATAATTTTTTTTTCTTTCTCAAATTTTCTTGAAATTGATGTTTGCTAAATATTAGGTTGTGTTCATTTTCAATTTCTTGGTTATTCCTTCAAGCCTAGCAAAAAAAGAAAATTTGCTTTTCCACTCAGTTTCTCCTCAATCAAACACGTGGATAAAATCTATTTTGGATTCAGTTCCTTGAGTATAAAATGAAAATCTATTTCATTTTCATTCACCCTTGGATTCAATTCCTTCAAATCAAACAGGGACTTCTGATCCTTGGTTTCTACACAATGTGCAGCCCTTCTGGAATTAATCTTAAGGGTGGTGATCAGATTGAAAGCTTGTTTTCTACTTTATTTGTGACGTATTATTTACTGTTAATCTTAGAGATGATCTATGGACTTTTGATCATCCGTTGAGTCTTTTTCTTTTTATTTTGCTTCAGAGAGCCATTGGGATCATAGAATGTATTAGCTGTGGTTGGTGATGATGAATGTCTATAAGGTAAATTTCTTCATCAGTTTCGTTGATGCAGTGTGATGATGATGGTGAAAGCTATAACATACCTATGGACTCATTTTCTGTGGCTATGATTAACCCTATCTTTTTGTAATGTCACAAATTGTCCGTTAAAAGAGAAGCATTAAATTAAGCTAGTGTTACAGAGATGAGGACACTCAGGTGGATGAGTGGCTTTACATCATAAAATTATGTTAAGTGTTGTAGAGTTGAGGATACTCATATGGATGAGTGGCTTTACACTTAGATGTGTACGTGAATAGTTGAAGCACCTCCAGTGGTAGATAATATTGGATAGTAGCCTTAGATGGTTTTGTGACATAAAGTGTCGTCACTCTGATCACCTAGTTGGGAGAGTAGATGTGGTAGATTTGGTCAATGCTAAAAAAGGTTGGCTTAAAAAGACTTAGCTTGAAAGTATTGGAAATGAGTTTTTTTTATTATATTTAAATGAGATTTTAACTCTTAAAAAGATTGTGGAGAAAAATTATTCATGCAGTTGACCCCATGTAGTGATATAAAAGGCTTGATATTCTTGGTTTTTTTGTCCCTAGAAAGTTGCAAATTTGCACCCCTCAATTAACTATGATCAATTCTATGGAGTTTTCTAAATCGTTTTCATTTGCATTTAAATGTCTTAATAATATCATAATTTGATGATTTTGGGCTTGTTGGGCTCGTCTCCGCTTGATTTGACTATTGTGGGCTCCAAAAATTCAGCCCCGACCTCACCCTGTTGCTTTCTTCGTGGGAGTTTTAACGGATTAAGTTTCGGGGTAAATTTTGGGAAGGCAGATGAGTTTGTATATAAGACACATCCAGAGATTTCGCCCTCATTTTGCAAGGACTTTATAATATGAGATCTGGTTTTGTATAGGCGCAAGGCCCTATAGTTAATTACCCCTCCTGAGAATCAGAGCAGTAAACCGGGTGATATGAGGTAACATTTAACTGATTTGATTTCTTTTTATTTGATTCCTCTCGTTTTTTTTATATTTGGATCAGTTGTAGTGGTCGATTCGTTTCAAAGAGAGAAGAAGGTTTAGTAATTCCCAAAGCATAGGAATATCATAAATACATATTATCTCAAGTGAAGACAAACTTTGAGATATGAAAATTCCAGCTCAGAGAGAGATGAACTAATATTCTGAAACACTGCTCCGCCTCATTTGGAAATGAAACCAACTCATTCTTCATATTTTTCAGTACTTGGATAGAGTTGATACTACTCAACGGCACCATTAACAACAAGGATGGATCATTTATAACGAGTTCATTGAGTATGAGCTGGCCTTTTTTCAGTGTTATTCACTTCTTGATGTCCTATAAGAGAGATCAAGTTTTTGCAATTTTGAATTGAAATGCTGCAATTGTTTCTACTACCTTGTAGCCAGTTACAACTTTTCCACCCAATGTTTATCTCCAATATCTCGGGTTTAGGAGGACAAGAGGATAATTCCCATAAATTTGGGCATTCTTCTAAGTGTAGTTCAGTCATGCAAGGAAATGAACATTCATATGCTGTTGTTGTTTACAAAGATTTCGAATATTAATTGAGCGATCAAATGATCTCTTGCATATTTGCAAGCATATTCTTGCGCTCATATCTTTTCTTGGAAAGTTAAGACAATAAATTTTTTCTCTCTTCCATCGTGCTGGCACACAACAATTTGAAAGGGGATATGGCTAAGAATATTGTGCAAACAAGTATTTATCTATTACATTTGTCTGATAAGTTATTGTTGGAATGCATCTATAAGATTTTTTAGGCATGCTTAGCACATTGTTTTATCACAATGGGCAAGTAGTTCCAAACTTTCACGATCTATCTCTTCTTTCTCTCTGTTTGTTTCATTACAAGGCATTGTGACCGAATTTGTTGGCTTTTTTTGTATCAAAATGGTATTTTTCCCAAAATATAATCAAATAATCTTTTTATAAAAAGGCAAAAAAAAAGGCATTGCATTTTTCATTATTATTATTAGCCTTTTTCTTACTTATTTAGCCACATATTCATCTTAACATTTGCAAGTTTAGCATGTCCAAATTAGATTTTAATGGCCTTTCTATTGCCCAACAACAGAATACGTTGAACTTTGTTGGTCCAATGTTTGTATAGTTTATCTTTTTATTTTTTTTATAGATATTAGATAATTATTTTATGCTACTTGATGTATTCTCAAAAAATTATCTTGATCAAGCACGAATCTCGAGGCAAAATCTAACCAGAAACTTCAAAATTTAAAATCAAGAGCATTTGAACTTCGATTTTAGCGAGCTTATAGTCAAACTGAGCGTCTCGGAAATACGAACCCAACGACACCAAATTCGACCCAATCCGAGCCCAAATGGGTCTGAATCAAGGACCCGAAACGCTGTTGGAAGGTTCAAACCGCAATTTGAGTTACCAAACGGTCTCCGATTTTAACGAGCTTATACTTGAATCGAGCGGCTCGACGAGATGAATCCAACGAGCCCACGATTGCTGAATTCCGATATCATTAAGGCCTCCAAATATCCAACGAACGGTGGACGATCGAAGGGTTCGATATCGGCCGTCCATTCAAACTACTCCCTATTGGCCCCTGATCTCACACCTATTTACAAGCCATGCCACTCCAGAAAAACTATAAAGAGTGCCCTCATTCTTCACAAAGGGGACTCAAGTGAAGAGAGAAGAAGAAGAGGAGAAAGGGGAAAAGGAGAATCCTCTCCTCCTCGACCACCGCCGGAGCTCTTCTCGCCGCCTGAATACGTCGGAATTCTGCCGGATTTTCGGGAAATGTCGGGATTTTGCAAAACTTTGTAAACTTGCTTGATGAAACGAATTGTAATCTGATTGCCCCCAACTTGTGGGACGAATAAGTCATTTGTAATTTGCAAAACACTAGTGGAATTTTTCAACTGGGCGATGCCCCGTGGTTTTTTCCCTTTTTGGGTTTTCCACGTAAAAATTTTGGTGTTCATATTCTCTTTTATGTTTGTGTGCTGAATACTCGTACAATGTTTGGACGTGAATTTATAAACTCTACCGCCGCGTATATTCTAGCACGCAACACTACTAATAATTTAACTCAATATTTAAGAGGAAGCGACGGAAGCTTGCTGGGGAAGACTGGACCAGTAGCGGCGTATGATGGAATGCGAAGGAGAAGAGCTCGTGATGAGATTTGAGGATTTAAATTAAATACGTTCACTTCAAAACGGGAGTGAAACGGGTTTCAAGGTTGTCCATTTTACTTTCGGATCTTTCTACTAAACATCCCTTGGGTATGGAATCTTCTTATACAACTTTGACTTAATTTATATTCATTCCTTCGGAGACGTGAGTAAAGTTTCTTCATCAGTCTTGGGGGCGATGAAGTTGATTTTCTCTCTCTCTCTCTCTAGACAATGCAATTATGTCCTGATGGTTTCAATTCTGCATAGTTTCTTATATGCTTGCATCTGCATGTCAAACAAAGTAGCACTACCTTCTGCATTCATACAAAGAATTCTTTGTAAGGATCATTTGGTTTCTTGAATTGGGAAAATATGCTAATGTGAAAGTAACACTGATGAAATTGTTTTAATTTAAAGCATAAAATAAGTGAAAATAACATAATCATTTTTATCATCTTCTTCTTTTTCATGATTATAGTGGTTGTATTTGGGTTAAAACCCATGGTAAGGTGATCTATCATTCCCCTTTTTTTTTAATGGGGTGCAACACGAGGACTTCCCAGGAGGTTACCCATCATAGTACTACTCTTGTCTTAACTACGGAGGTCTAATGGGATCCGCAGCATTGGTGCTGCTATAGTCGCACCATTTATCATTCCCTACTTAAAGGATTTGTTATTATTTTTTTAGGGTTTGTTGGTCTAATTGCTGTGGGCATTTCTAAGAATTTTCTTTTAACTCTTCTCCTCGAGCTAATGATGATGATCACTCAAAAAGAATCTTTTTGAGGTATTCCTTGTAGAATTTCTCAAATCAATTCTAAGGGCTATTAATGCACAGGGTTATTTCAAAGAAATTTTTTGCTAATTTCTGTTTTGTTGCTTTATAATAAAATGGTCCTGTGTGTGGAAAGAATTTCTTTTTGCCATGAAAAATATTTATCACCTAGTTGTATTCCATATTCTTGTGCAGTGGCCATTGTTCTTCACTTTCACTTCTGCTGCTGCTGCGTACCATAGACAAGTACTTGATTTTCTTTGAAACGGTGGGTTGCACCCTAATTCTATCTTGTTTAGATGCTATTATCTGAATGTTTATTTTTGTCAGGCTTTGCAGTAGTAAGATATGGAGGAATTAGGAGACTCTGTTCTTGCTTCTTGGTGGAAGATTGTTTGTGTTAATTTTACTGCTCAAAGCCTCTCCTCTCACTTTTGATACGCATACATTTGCATGCATTAATCAGTTTGCAAGATTGGGTTCTAAATTATTTTGTAAATCTGCTGTAAAGAAAGTAATTATTTAAAGCTGTTGTTGAGAGTAGTTTTCTAGTACAAATATTTATTTATGAGGTAGCGTGCATTGATAGATATTATGATAGATATGAATACAATATTTAAGCCTCAACTATATAGTTGAAAATTCATATTTTATTTTGTTTTTTGAGCTGAATTCGGTTCAATCTCTGTTTGGATCGAACCAGTCCTATTAACCCCGTTTTGACTCCATCAAAATGAGGCTCTTGCTGATCAGTATTTTTTTTGTTGACGTAAATGTCTTGATGTGGCCATTTTTAGCTTAATGTGGGAAAGTAAGTATTGAATTGGTGGTTCTCGTCCTTTTCAGTAATTGTAATAATTGCTAGGTAAGGCATCTCTTATTCTTTTCCATGTAATAATCTTGATCAATATGAGGATCATGCTTTATTTATTTTATTAAAAAAGAAAAAAAGAAATAGTACTTTATTTATATTTGTAGCAGTGCTCAATTTAATGTATCGGGTTGCAGCCCAATGATGAAATTCGCTAGTCATTCATGTAGTGAACTTTCTGGTTAGCCATGTATTAAAAACTCCGTATTCTTGCAGCGTTTGGTAGCAGCAAAGCTAATAATAAAGTGGTAACCACCGGTGAGCAGCTTTATCAATATATATTTTTTCCTCAAAAAAAAAAGTTTGATTATTTCAAGTTTTGAGCCCTGGTCAGGTGTTGGGTGTCAAAATGAGTCGATGAGATGGGTTGGGGTACACCTAGATTGGCTCGGGTCTAAACATATTGAACCTTTTTGACATGATTTTCCAAATATGTCAGGATTTACAAATTTGGGCCTGACTTGGACTTACCAAAAATCATAAATAAGTCTTCGTGAACATGTTTAATGCCAGTTTGGTGCGCAGTGCTGCGCTTTGAATATGCGAAGGAGGCTAGACAAGTTCGACAGTAGTTGAGTTGCGCTTGTATGGTTCTAGTGGGAGTGTCAAATATTGGAACAATTATTACGTCCTCCAACCGGATGCAGAGGAACATCTGATTGTAGGTAAAAACGCGCCTATACCGAGGTGTACTGAGTTTTTTGAAAAATCTCGGTACACCTCGGTATAGGCGCGTTTTTGCCTACAACCGGATGTTTCTTGCATTCGGTCAACCGGACCAAATAAAATCCCCAAATATTGACACCCTTAGAAGAAGGCATTGTTCCTCTCTAGCATCACACTCCTTTCTCTTTTTTTTTTTTAATTTTAATCGTGGGATGAAAATTTTTTTGAACTCTAATTTTTTTAGTGTTTTTTATTTTATTTTTTTAATTGTTTGAGTTGATACTTAATACTCAACTAATAAAATCATTGTCATTGCCAACATATTGAGAATTACTTGATTGACATTTATTTAAGACATTGTAATTAAGTTGGATTTTATAGTTTTAGCATCTCTTTCTCTTTTTTTTTTTTTTTTTAATTTTAATCGTGGGATGAAAATTTTTTTGAGCTCTAATTCTTTTAGTGTTTTTTTTATTATTATTTTTAATTGGTTGAGTTGATCTTTTTGTATGAACTTTTAAACTAGTTATTATTGTTTGTGAATTGCGTTTTGGTATTCCTACAAGTTCATATTGTTTGAGTTGATACTTGATAGTCAACTAATAAAATCATTGTCATTGCCAACATATTGAGAATTACCTGATTGACATTTATTTAAGACTTTGTAATTAAGTTGGATTTTATAGTTTTAGCATCTACAATATATGATAGAAAATTATCTTTTGATGCGTAGATAAAATGAGAAAAGGAAAATGTATTGTTTCTTCTTGTAGTTGCGCTTTGGTTGCGCTTTAGTTGCGCTTTGGTTGCGCTTTGGTTGCGCTTTAGTTGCGCTTTAGTTGCGCTAATTTTAAATAATATTTTATTATTATCCGAACCTATCTCTGCGTTCGGTCACCTGACCCAATAATTTGCCCAAATATTGACACCCTCAGAAGAAGGCATTGTTCCTCTCTAGCATCACACTCCTTTTTCTTTTTTTTTTTAATTTTAATCGTGGGATAAAAATTTTTTTTTGAACTCTAATTTTTTTAGTGTTTTTTTTTATTATTTTTTAAATTGTTTGAGTTGATACTTAATACTCAACTAATAAAATCATTGTCATTGCCAACATATTGAGAATTTCTTGATTGACATTTATTTAAGACATTGTAATTAAGTTGGATTTTATAGTTTTAGCATCTACAATATATGATAGAAAATTCTCTTTTGATGCGTAGATAAAATAAGAAAAGGAAAATGTATTGTTTCTTCTTGCATATTGCTTTAGTACGTTACAAAATTGATTTCTTTCCCGTTGATTTTAGTAGACTTTGCTCTTTTTAAAAAGCAACTGTTGTCATCATTTGCTAAGTTTGATATAATTAGCTGTTAATTTAACATAGAAAAGTACTTTAATTATTATTCACTTCACTATTTTTTCCTATTTTATTGATTGCTGCGCTATTATCAGCTGTTAATTCAACATATTCTCTTAATAGTATTGTATGTGCTTTTGTATGTTTCTTCACTCAATATGGTTATGTATTATAGGTTTCATTTGCTATCAGATAATTGAACAAAAACTAAGGAAAGCTTCATCCAACTGCTCTTACATAGAATTTTTATTATTTTTGCAAGATTTATTTTGCAATCTGCTTTTTAAGAAAAATGTTAATTTATGTCCTTAAACTATAAATGTTCAACGTGAACAAATTGTGGTGGATTGGGATATTCGTGAAGATAGAGAAATATATATTTTAGAGTTAAAGTTTTGTATGAAGATTCAACACTAACATATAAGAGAGATGTGAGAGTCATAAGAGTTACTAATATTTTGATGTGGAAAATCGTAAAATGATGCAAAATGGTGAAAATTTATGGGGTCTTAGATTGTAAAAATGGTTCCATTAATGTTTTTTGTTGATTATAAATGAAGTGCTTCTATGATGGGTGGCATGACATGTTGAAAATAAATATATAACATATAAAAGACATATGTTGTTGTGGTTGGAAGAATTGAATGATAAATGAATTATTCTAAAGAGAAAGTTGGCTTGTTCATTTGGATGGCAAGACGACATAGGTTAGGACTTTAGTCTGGGGGCAATGAAGGTCTGAGGGGTTATAGTTGGTGAGCAACAATGGTTAAATGGATTGTAGTTGATGGGCGATAGAGGTTGGAGGGATCGTAGGGATCGTAGTTGACGGGCAATAAAGGATGGCATGCAATGGTTGTTAAAGGGATTGTAGTTGTCGGGTGACAGTGGTCGAAGGGTTGTAGTTAGCTTTCAACTATGTATTATGTGCGACGTTGGTTCGAGGGATGTAAGTCAGCAATGGGTGGAGTTTAGTGGTTGGACGGCGATTCGACGAAGCTCGAGCAAAAGTCTAGCAGCACTTGGTAGCTAAGTTAAAGTCTGACTGTTGTCAGCGAATGTATGGCAGTCAGGCAGTGGTCTGAAGACGATTGAGTTGGTCTAGCAGCGGTTGACTATCGGTTGGTTGCCCGACAGTAAGATTGCCTACAATAGTTAGGCGGAAATATAGTGGCGATTAGCGGCCGGGTGGTGGTTCGATGATGGTCAGGTGGAAGTCCGGCGGTAGTCAACAGTTGGGTGAAATTCTTGTGATGGTTGGTTGCCAGCTATTGGTCTAACAATAGTCTAGTCGATGTCCAGCGGCGATTGACAGACGGTTTGTGGTCCTATATCGGTTGAGTTAAGTCTAACGGTTGTCTGCGGCAAGGTGGAAGTTTGGCGACCTGGCGGTGGTCTAACGATGGTCGGGTAGAAGTCTGGCGTCGGTTGGCGATTGGGTTGAAGTTTCGCTGGTTGTCGGTGAATGGGCGGTGGTTTGACGACAATCAACAGAGGTTCGTTGGTGGTGGTGCTTGAGCTCTTGAAGCCTAAAAGCTCTCTCCATTATGCAGATGAAAGTCCATGCTCCATGCCCCATTTCATGTGTGAAGAGGGGGTCTATTTAAATATTTTTAAGAGTGACATGCTTTGTAAATATGGAGAAGATATGGGACGTAGTTAGAGTGTTCCATTGTAAGACCCATATTGTTCTCCCCGATCATAGAGCATTTTTAAGCATTTAAGTGTCTTAATGATTTTGAAACGAACAATTATTGAAACAAAGCAAACTGAATCACTAGTTTCATACAAGCATCTTACTATCATCCAGGAGATATTGGGTTCGAAGCTTTTCTAGTTTCATAAATTATTTACCAATCTCTCTATATGTTAAGGTTTAAAAAAAATGTACTATAAATCAACTTTAGAAAGTAGTAAAAAAGTTGTCCCAAAAGAATAAATCGATGAAATGATAAAATTTTGCTAAAATACACTTTGTCAATTATGTTAGTGTGGAATAAGGTTTTGATCAATCAAATTGTACTGTTATCTCAGTCTCAAGCCAATTTCTAATACTTATTTACCGATCCCTCGTAAAAAAAAATCTCAATTCTTTATTTTCTTTATGACTCGCAACTTTTGCATCTTACAGGAAAAACGGGCTTTGGATATGGAGGGGTTTCTTTATGAGTTTTTTTTAATGAACAATGGTGAATAGTATAAATATTTTATATTTCTTTTATTTGACAATAGTAGCATAAATGTTTCAAATTGGGTCGTCTTTTTCATGTTTGAATATTTCGAAAGTAAGAGTATAACTTGTAATATAATTTAATAAAATTGGATATGCTCAATTTAATAGTCAAAATATAAAGTTTGTTTGGGGTTAAACTCTGATTAATTTTATAAATTTAGCAAAAATAACAAATATTATTATCTACACAATTATTATATAAGAGTAATGTCTATAATTTTATTAATATAATTAATAATTATATTTACTTATAAGAATAAAATCAATAATTTTATCTTTTTAATGAAAGAAAATATGATTAAATTTTTTGAATTTTATTCCCGTGCATTTAATGCAACTGTAATAAAATTAGTATATATATATGGCCTATCTATTCCTTTTGCAAGGAGGTGTAATTTTGCTTTTTAATTTTTTACAAGTTTGATGATAATAGCAAATTTTTAATAAAGATTACAACCATTTTTTCTGGTGTTGTGGATTTTAACCAACATCAATGATTAATGCGTATCTTTTTTTGTAACATTGTGCATTAACAATTGGTAATTTGAAAGGATCCAAAATACCCATCTCTATATAGGAAAAAAGTTGTTCATGTCATTATTTTGTAAAGTAGAGGATAAGCATAATTTGTAGGAATTAGGAGGGCTTACGGGATCAGTATAATGTGTTTATGAGGAAAAATTATTACGCCCGGTGAAAATACCGAGCAATATCGAGCATACTGAGTGTACCGAGCGCTTTAGTGATGTGGCATTTTGTTATTGGTTTCCGGATGCATTCGGTTACCTGACAGAATAATTACTCGTTTATGAAAGCTCTACGTGCTATCCTGCTTGTGGAAGATACCTTGATAAATTTCCTGCGCAACACATGCGTGATTCCGGAGAAATTATTACGTGCGGGGTTCATACGGAGAGAACTTCCGATTTTGTTGAGTATTTATAAATACTCAACAAATCAGCAATTAATCATAAAATTTGTAAATATATTTAGCAAATATTTAATAAATATTAACAACTGAATAAATATTAATAATTGTATATTTGTTGAGTATCTACAATTACTTAATAAATCCTAACGGTTCATGTCTGCATTTCGCATGTGCATAAAATATATTTGAAGATAGGGCTACAAATTCTTTAAATATTTCTTTCTTTTCTCACGTAGTAATGGATCTGCTTGATGGGGAAAAGGTTTCCCTTTAGATAATGGTTTATTATTACGGTTAAGAAAAAAAAGGAGCAAAAGATTTAAGTCTATTAATTTAAGAAAACTTTGACAATATTTAATTGTTTTTTTAGTATTTAAAATTAATTAATATTATTATTTTCATATTAAATTTGTATTATTGATCATTAGTAATTTTATTTTAATGAAATGAATTTTATTTATTATAGATTATTATTATAGTTAATTTTGGATCTATTAATATTAAATAGAGTAAATATAAAAAATAACTTAATATTTAGGTTTAAATAAAGATTTCAAATTTAATCAGTAATTAGACGATAAATTTAATCGACCGATTATCTTTTTCACATGATTTGTTTGATACGGTTAAGAAAGGAAAGTTAACAAAAATAAAAAAGGGATTTTTACATACATTCTACTTTATAATATGTGTATTACATATTTAACACATAATTCTTAAATATTATACTCATACCCCCTATTATCTATTTTCACAACAAAATTACCACTCCGTTAACAGCGATACCTCACTCCGTTTTATCTTTCTTCCCACTTGGGCTTTCCGCAAAGAGAACACACTTTTTCTGGTGTTAGATGCTCTGTCCAAGTGTGTATCATCGCGATTTTTTCCAGAATCCCTTCGTATTTGCTCTTCCGCCGTAGCTGCTCCTCCACATCGTAGCTGCTCTTCCAGCTACCCGTAGAATATCTTCCACTGTAGCTGCTCTTCCACCTTGAGGCAAAATTCTATTCAAGTTATGTGAATGCAAGCATAATTATGTAAGCTACAAAGAGAATGCAAAAAAAAAAAAAAAAAAACTACAAAAAAAAAAAAAAAAAAAAAAAAAAAAAAATCCAAAACCTTGAGGCATCCAAGTCTCTCTGACAGAATCACGCCTCTTCATACTGTTAAATGCAGTATTGATCCCAATAACAACGAAAGCCTTTTTTCCTTAAAGACAGTAATACCGGCTGAATCGGGTAAGTTCTGACCGTTTTAGTTGAGAAATCTTCGGAGACAGCGTGAAGCTCATGCTCCTGCCTCTGCTGCGTGAAGAACTTCCAGTTCGAATCTGGAATGGGCCAGAGCCTACACGACCAAAATGCTTCATGATTTGAATAACATGAATTGCTCCAAAAGAGAAACACATTTTGATCAATCAAAAACATAATTTCTTTAATTTTCTATTTATCCATTTAGGTGAAGAGATTAATAGTCATCCTAGCTCTGAAGATGGAAGGAGAAGGAGATGATCTAGATTAGACGATGAAGGAGGAGAAAAGATGACCAAGGGGACAAAGAAAGCGACGGGTTGAAGGAGGAGCACCGGCTAAGTAGGAAGTAAATCGTCTACCTGTTGACATCGGGCGTGAAGGAAGATAAAACGGACGTTGTTAACGGAGTGATAATTTTGACGTCAAAATAGAGAATAGGTGGTATGAGTGTAATATTTAAGAATTTGATGTTATATCATAAAGTTGTATGCATGTAAAAATCCCAATAACACAACTCTCCTTGGTCTATTGGTTGAGAGCTTAGGCTTCCCATTAAGAGGTCCAAGATTCGAGTCTATGTGTATACGTTGTGTGTGTGAGTTTATCTTAATTGACCTAAATACCCTCCAAAAAAAAAAAATCCCAATAAAAAATGCTGATCCGAGCCAAAACGGATGTTGCCTGTATAATTTATCTTCTTTTGGGTGTTGTCTATGCTTTTCCGGTAGCCTTTGGCCTTTCTAGGTTTGCGTTTCCTAGTCGCCCATTCTGCGCGCTGCGTGGTTTCGCGTTAGTCAACTAATGTTTTGAAAGAGTCCCGAAGCTTCTTCGCCATCTGTGGCGATGTGGGATGAGAAGTGTCGGCTGGAGGCAACGATCTTTCTCTTCTCTTTTAGCACGTTTCTTCTCCTAAATCCCGTTAGGGACAACGGAGAAGGAACGGGATTTAAGATTTGTAGGATTTAGGGGCTGCTTGGTAGCAGGGTTTATGCCTATTATGAGGCGGAGTTGCGCGAAATCCAGCCAAACGGCCTTGAAAGCAAAACCAAATCGTACAGCCTCTTAACCTAGTGTCCGAAACCCTCGTCTTTCTCCACCGAATCGAAATTCTAGAAACCCTAGACGATCGAGAAGCGAGAAAGTTGCGAAAGCTGGCTGAAGAAGCATCGACAGGACCAGTGACGTGTGAAATACGTCCGATTGCCGTTTTTACATAATCGGGGGTTTAAGATAAAATGGGGAGAAGCTGATTTAAGATTATGTATGGTTGTTCATTGAAAACTGCAACACTTGTCCTATTTTATGATTTTCAATATCATGTAAGCCCTCTCTTATTGGTTCCTCATTCTTCTTTTATGCTTCTGTTTTAATGTCCATTATTCTGCGCCATAAAACATACAGGTCTCACCATCATCTTGGAGTTTTCTCGTTAAATTTGAGGGGTACTTTTCTTTCATACAACAAGCCCGATTCATTCCTCCACTTCAACCATACAATTCGAATTAGATTAATAATATCCTTATCTATTTCATCATCACTTTGAATAATAGACCCGACATATCTAAACGTGCCCTCTTCTTAATAACTTGATTGTCTAATGTCACAATACACCACTAGATAAATTTCTACTAAAATTTTACTTACTGCATTCAGTCACTATATTCAGCTTTAGATCTACTCAAACGAAATCTTTTATGCTTCTCTTTTAATTCCCATTATTTTGCTACGCCTTCTTATATTTTTTATGGATTGAAATGCGAGGCCGGGGATATTGTTTTTTTTTTGGGAAAATGTTTATTCACCAACATGCTGTTGATTGGATTGCTGGATCTATAGGGTAGCTTCAATAAAGCATGCTTTACTGACCGGTGGCCATAACAGTACAGTACTTTTCATGCATGTCATGATGTCCATAAGATTGGCTACCCCATATGCCCAGATTTTATTATTTTCTTCATTTTAAATCCTCAATTAGACATTGTATTCTTTGGAGTTCCTCTAAGGCTATTGTAGATGTATATTTCAGCAAGAGTTGCTGTGGAACAAGGTACTCAGGATGTTGCACAAAGTTTTGTTATGGTAGATTAGCAAATATGAACGATCAATTCTCTTCTTTTTTCTGACATATCAGTGATTTTTGGCGTGAAAATCTGCCAGTGATGAGGCATTGAGGGCTGGAATTTTTTCAAACAAACAACCGGTGCTTCCTTGTTTTCTTAATTAGTGCTTGACTTGAGAGGGTAGGGAGAAAGATTTATTTCTTTCTCTGTGATAAATTTCAAAAGTTTCTGATGGACCTGCTCGGTCCATAGCCCCACCGGCCCCTGTGGGGCCGGTACTCATTTACTTTGTGCCCTACGTAACATGAATTGTCGGTTTGATGGTGTATGTTAACCATCACCAAGTTTCCTTAGTAAAATTTGTTTCTTATGGTGATGATATGGCAAAGTAGAGATGGCCTAGAGCTTCTATACAACTGCAGTTGCTACTCTTTAGTATTTAAGCATAATAATTTATAGAACCAAAGTTCTTCTGTTACTCCTGAGTATTCAAGCCCCCAAAATATTTTTTTCAAATTGTAGTGTTACTGTACGTGGAAGCCTTTCATCTCAAGCTTTGATTGGATGTATTCAATCATGGAAATTTTGTTAGGATATGATGAATGATAAAATATTGTTGAATTCATTGCAATCATGCCTCTTCTGCACTATACAATAGAGTTAGGACATAGGAGGACCCATTTATCAAGATTTGTACCAATCTGTACATTCAGTAGTGTGATATTGTGTCTTTTGAATAAGAATTTGTGAGGTTGATGATGATGATGATTTAGAATTCAGCTATTGATTGCACAAGACTGCTACTGAATATCCTTATATTTTCCATGCTAATGATGTGTTGTGTTTGGATGGCCTGGAGCTTCTCTGGCAACCGCACAGCTGCTATTACCAGTGGGATTCATGTTAGCTATTAGTAGAATGCTTCACGCGTCATATTTTGTGACTTCCAGAATCATCTGGGCTATTATTCGTGTATTGGTCCCTAATTCTTCTTTCCTTTTTGAAATGTAGTACTACACAATGTGCAATATAATATGCAAAGCTTCTCCAGTTTTCTTATTTCATGTATTCCACCATCATATGTTCCTTATTGTTTTTTTATTCTTCCTGGTCTCATCTCCTTTTGGGAATGCCTCTCTTTTGGTTATGATTTGGCTGGAGGAATTTTGCGGAAAAGAATTATTATTTACGTAATAGTTACGTCTTGACTGTTTGGTTTAGGTAGTGTTGATAAGGAATTGGTTTAACCAAGTAAATTACGAATCCCAAGTGATGAGTTCTTAGTCTTTTTAGACGGTGAAGTTGCGTGTACTGATTGCGAACATCATTATGCTCATTGTTTTAAAAGAGCTGGGTTCTTATCCTTTCATATCTCTTTTACCTTTCAACTACTTTTCTTACATGATTGAGGTTTGAAGTGAATTTTAACTGAAGGGACATTGAGTTGTAAATTTGAAACATTCCAAAACAGGGTGAATATTATAAGATGTGTGAGGATAGAGCTTCTATTTTTGTAAAATGAATAATAGTCCAATTGTCTCTCATGATAAGATCTAGCTGCTGTTCTTCTAAAATAGATAATAGTCTATTGCCTATGTAAGTTTGAGGGCCTTTGTCTTCATTATATTTTTTATGCATGTGGGTGAAATCTTGGAATCTTTCTTGATGAGAAGGGAAGGAAATTGCATTATGAGGCTAAATCTTAATGAGTGAGCTGCACATATCTTTTATGTCATCTTCATCTTTATCAACATCATTTGCTAAGTTTGATATAATCAGCTGTTAATTTAACATAGAAAAGTACTTTAATTATTATTTTCACATTAAATTTGTATTATTGATCATGAGTAATTTTAATTTTTTTTAAATGAATTATATTTATTATAGATTATTATTATAGTTAATTTTGAAGCTATTAATATCTAATAGTGTAAATATAAAAAAGTACTTAATATTTAGTTTTAAATAAAGATTTCAAAATTAATCAGTAATTAGACGATAAATTTAAATTGTTTTAATATTCAATCGACCGATTATCTTTTTCACATGATTTGTTTGATACGGTTAAGAAATGAAAGTTAACAAAAATAAAAAAAAGCTGGTCCGAGCGATAACGGATGTTGCCTATATAAAAGGGTGTTGTCTATGCTTTCTCGGTAGCCTTTGGCCTGTCCAGGTTTGCGTTTCCTAGTCGCCTTTTCTTCGCGCTGCGTGGTTTCGCGTTATTCAACTATTGTTTTGAAAGAGTCCCGAAGCTTCTTCGCCATCTGTGGCGATGTGGGATGAGAAGTGTCGGCTGGAGGCAACGATCTTTCTCTTCTCGTTTAGCACGCTTCTTCTCCTAAATCCCGTTAGGGACAACGGAGAAGGAACGGGATTTAAGATTTGTAGGATTTAAGGGCTGTTTGGTAGCAGGGTTTATGCCTGATTTGAGGCGGAGTTGAGCGAAATCCAGCCAAACGGCCTAAAATGCAAAACCAAATCGTACAGCCTCTTAACCTAGTGTCCGAAACCCTCGTCTTTCTCCACCGAATCGAAATTCTAGAAACCCTAGACGATCGAGAAGCCAGAAAGTTGCAAAAGCTGGCTGAAGAAACATCGACAGGACCAGTGACGTGTGAAATACGTCCGATTGCCGTTTTTACATAATCGGGGGTTTAAGATAAAATGGGGTGAAGCTGATTTAAGATTATGTTGGGTTTAAAGATCTAATTTTTGCTATTTGGCAGGATTTAGGTTAATACTTCTCAGAAACTGCTACCGAACAGCTGTTTATGGTGATTTGCTACCTCACTCTCTCTCTCTCTCTCTCTCTCTCTCTCTTTCTCTCTCTCCCTCGTCCCTCCGTCTCTATGTGCTGCACCGAACCCCTACAATTTTAATGATAGTTAAACAATGCAACTATTTCATGATCGATCATGTCTGCAAAATTTATAATATTCTTTGCATCTGCATGTCAGGTAAAGTATCATTTACTTTTGAATTATTAACAAAAAAGGCCTTGTAGGTCTGATTTGGTTGCTTGATGTTAGAATATATGCTTTCTCTAAAGTTCCACCAATGAAATGGTTATATTTTGATGAATTAAATAAGATAAAATAAATTTAAGATTTCATTCATGTTCATTAACATGATATCTGTGATGCGGTGTGAGATGAAAAATTAAAGTAATCATTTTTATGAAGATAATAGTGTGCCGTTGATGTCTCTTTCTAGTTAGAATTTGTGCGGGAGATGATAATGATGATTTGGAATTTAGCCATTTGTTGTATATGGTTGCAAAGGAGTATCTCTATGTTTCCTATGGTAATGATTGAGCATGTTGGGATGGTTTTAAGCTTCTAAGGAAATCATAGTGGCCACTACTAAGGGGATCATGTATGGTTGTTCATTGAAAACTGCAACACTTGTCCTATTTTATGATTTTCAATATCATGTAAGCCCTCTCTTATTGGTTCCTCATTCTTCTTTTATGCTTCTCTTTTAATGTCCATTATTTTGCGCCATAAAACATTACAGGTCTCACCACCATCTTATAGGAGTTTTCTCCTTAAATTTGAGGGGTACGTTGCTTTCATACAACAAGCTCGATTCATTCCTCCACTTCAACCATACAATTCGAATTAGACTAATAATATCTTTATCTATTTCATCATCACTTTGAACAACAGACCCAAGATATCTAAACGTGCCCTCTTCTTAATAACTTGATTGTCTAATGTCACAATACACCACTAGATAAATTTCTACTAAAATTATACTCACTGTATTCAGCTTTAGATCTACTCAAACGAAATCTTTTATGCTTCTCTTTTAATTCCCATTATTTTGCTACGCCTTTTTATATTTTTTATGGATTGGAATGCGATGCCGGGGATATTGTTTATTCACCAACATGCTGTTGATTGGATTGCTGGATCTATAGGGTGGCTTCAATAAAGCATGCTTTACTGACCGGTGGCCATAACAGTACAGTACTTTTCATGCATGTCATGATGTCCATACGATTGGCTACCCCATATGACCAAATTTTATTCTTTTCTTCATTTTAAATCCTCAATTAGACATTGTATTCTTTGCAGTTCCAATAATATTCCTTTCTAAGGCTATTGTAGATGTATATTTGAGCAAGAGTTGCAGTGGAACAGGTACTCAGGATGTTGCACAAAGTTTTGTTATCATAGATTAGCAAATATGAACGATCAATTCTCTTCTTTTTTCTGACATATCAGTGATTTTTGGCGTGAAAATCTGCCAGT